CCTTAAATGATGTTGATGGGATAAGACTGGGGAGTTTTGTTTTACTGATTTCTTGTTCACCAAATTTTTTTCTTAGTAATGTGTAAAATATATAATCTTTCATCTCCCTGCCTTTATTGATTTGTTGTATAGTTGTAGGATTAATTGAGAGTAGGCAGATAACATAATTGGCAAGGAACTTAAAATACATAAAATACATTTATGTATTTTCTCTTCCTTCATAAACCATAAGAATATAATCAACCTGCTTTATGTTGGAAATTCAACACTGGTTAGGACAGACAATATTGATATATGTATTGAAACCTATATCTGGGTGTCTGAGAGAATGTTATATACTTTGTGAAATATTACAGCACATCTATAAATAGCAATTTGAAATTGCAATTCTCATTATACATAATCATGGGTTTTATAAAATTAAATCTCAGTACTATAGAATTTTATAATCATATCTTAATGCTGAATCACAACTCACAAAACTCTTACATCCAAGAATGAATGGTACCACAGGGAGCAGTTCTAACCCCACTTACCAAATGCAGTAAATATTCCACCTTATTCTAGATGCTTGAGTTAAGCCAGTCTCAAAAATAAAATAAAAAAAAAGCTTAAAAAAGAGACTCTTTTCAACACTTATGGTGATAAAAGAAAAGTCGTTTTACTAAGACTTGCTCCTTATCCAGTAAACAATCACACATTCAACAGCAATAAAATACTGCTGAGAGATAAACATTCTTCATTTCAAAGCAAGGAGACTGCTGAATGGTGATACAGTTTCAAAAGTATGTGATTTGACAGGGGAGCTCTCATCATGCTCCTGAAAAAATTTTACGCTGCTGTGATTTTGTTTGTGGGTTCTTCTTTTCTTCCAAATTGAAGGAATGTGCTTAACTCTAATCAGAACCATCAAAGCCTTTAAAAAATGCCCATGGAGTTTTAAATTTCTGGCTTAAAAAGAGAATAAAGTGTTTAAAAATCTCAAGTGCTGATTTTCTTGCCCTGTTAAGTTTTGTATTTAAGAATTGCAAGATGTGTTTATTTATAAGGGGTCTAACAAGTATTTATAAATACTTAAGTATGTGTCAGGTCCAGTTCTAGTTATAGGGGAGGTTTTAGTACAAAAGAGACAAGTTTCCTGTGCCCAGGTAGGGAACTGGAGGTGGATACGGCAGTCCATGTCAGTAATCCCAGCACTTGAGAGGTAGAGGAAGGAGGAGCAGGAATTCAGGTCATCCCCAGCAGGACTTGAGGCTGGCCTTGGCTATCTGAAACCATGTCAAAGAAAAAAGAAAGAGAGATAAAGCAGCTGTAGGAGTTGTAGACAGGGAGGGGAAGGAAAGGAAAAGTTAGAAGAGAAGAAAAGTCCATGTTAAGGTCAACTTTAAGTGAAGATGATGCATAAAGGAAGAAGAAAGTCACTACTGCAGAATTAAACAGAGATTGAAGATACATGGAAATTATTGGTTTATTTTAGAGCAGAGCAAGAAAGGCATCTCTGAGGAAGTGATGTTCAAACTGAGATTTAAATGATTAAGGATCCATGCGTATAGTGATCTCAGGAAAAGTATTCCTGGGCAAGGAACGAAAGGAAGGCCGAGCTTAGCTGACAGTGTAAGCTACAAGAAAGACCAACGTAAGGGTTCTCTGTATGGTCTGAAGATGGTCAGACTTCTTAGTCAGAAGTTCAGTGCTCCAAAATACAATAGCCTAGCAAGCAAGACAGCTCCTTGTTCTTCTATGAACCACCTTCAGAAGTTACTCCAGGTATGGTGACTCACTCCTGTAATGCTAGCAGCTGGAAGGAGACAGGAGGGTTAGGAGTTCAATGCCATCCTCAACTATATAACATGTTCCAGATGAGCCCACGCTACTTGAGAGGCTGTCTCAAAATAATACTAAAGAGAATGACTGGGAGGAAGAAGAGAGGGAAGAAGAAGAGAAAGCTGTACAATGTCTCTTCTACTGTGTGGGATTGGTCAAAACCACCATAAGTGTTCTCAAATTCATAGGAAGGAACAAAGAGAAGAGGTGGGGGATTGGGGTCATGTGAAAAACCTCCAGAGTATAACAGTTTCTCTAGGACTAAGGTTGCCTCCACTTCACCTTTTAATTTGCCCATTATGATTTTTATTTATAATATTTTTGTATCATTTTTCATAATGGCTGTTTCTAATGCCTTTCATTTGTAAAGAATAAAATTTAAAATATCTGTTTATAAAAACCAAGAATGGGGCTGTAGAAATGGAGTTAGGAGTTAGAAGTACTTCCTGCTCTTGCAGAAGACCAGTATTCAGGCCTCAGTACCCACACTGAGTTGTCTAGAACAAATACATTGTAACTCCACCCTCGGGGTATCCATTGCCATCTTCTGGTTGCCATGGGCACACGAACACACAATATATATATATATATATATATATATATATGTATATGTATATGTATATGTATATGTATATATATCCATACACCCAGATACATCCACAACAAATAAATACATTTTTAATCAAAGGGGTTTTCAATTAATATATTTGAAAAAACATGTTACTGTCTTCAGCTATTTTAATTCTAGATATTGTTATTGCAACCAATTCATTCTTATCTCTTTCATCCTAAAATTCTTGTCAATGAAAATTCATCTAATAAGTTCATGTTAGACCATACATTTAATCATATAATTTTTGTGTGGCGAAGAAGAAGAAGAAGAGGAAGAGGAAGAGGAAGAGGAAGAGGAAGAAGAAGAAGAAGAAGAAGAAGAAGAAGAAGAAGAAGAAGAAGAAGTTGTTGTTTGAGTATTTCTTGCTTAGTGCTTTGCCTAGCTCAGTCTTCGAAAATAAACTGGAATGTGATTGAGTTTTAAATTGCTGGTGTAGGCAATATGTCCATTCCCGTCTCACAGTGTTTGAATACTGAATACTTTGGTTTGTTTCATACCCAGAGACTATAGCTCTCTTCTCAATAGTGTTATGAATGGCAAGGTAAAGATTAAAGTCTCCTTAGTCACACGAGCCGCATGTTTTAAGAGCCAAACATACAATAAGTGGATACTATACTAGAAATCACAAAATATGAGATGACTATTTTATTACAGAAAGTATTACAGTACTATTCTAGAATGAGCCACTTACTGCAGAACTACAAATCAGATACTCAATCCAACATTTGATTCCAAATCAGCCAAAGCTGACTTTCAAATCTTCTTGATCTACATTCTAAAGTTGTTTCTGCTTAAACCATTTTCTAAACAACGATTACAAGTATCTCTAGGCATATCTCTGTGAAACACAATAAAAACAAATGAGATTATCTGTAAAAAGCAAAAAAATTCTAAAAGCAGTAAAAATAGTAAAAGCAGTGAAATTCTTGAACATCTTCAGTATGAACAATTTCGCATGGTCTGTGAATCATCTAATGAGGGACAATGTCTGAAGTGTGTACCTCTGCTTGAGTTGTGTCAAAATTCAAAGAAAATCTAAATAAATAAAAGCCTGCCACATCCTATTTAACAAGTAACTATGAACAACTTCTAATTAAAGGTGTGTGCAAATGAGGTGGGGAAATATATCTTTCAAAAGTTGACGTTTTTAAAATTACATTTAACAATTAACAATACATGGTGTTAAGTCATTGAAATATAATTTTTTATTACTTTTCATTTTTTACAGTCCAGTCCCCCTCCTGGTCCACCCTCCCACCATTCCTCATTCCCATTCTTCTTTCTCCTGTCTCCAAGAGGTTTTTCTCTCACAGACCCTTCCCCCTGCCAGGCCTCCCCACTCCCTGGGGTCTTAAGTCTCTCGAGGGTTAGGTGCATCTTTTCTCACTGGAGCCAGACCAGACAGTCCTCTGCTGTATATGTGTCAGGGGCCTCAGACCAGCTGGTGTATGCTGCCTGGTTGGTGGATCAGTGTCTCAGAGATCTCAGGGGTCTGGATTAGTTGAGACTGCTGGTCTTGCGGTTACCCTCCTCCTCCTCAGCTTCTTCTAGCCTTTCCCTAATTCAACCACAGGGGGCCCTGACTTCAGTCCAATAGTTGGGTGTAAGTATCTGCATCTCTCTCAGTCAGCTGCTTTTTGTGCTTCTCAGAGGGCAGCCATGCTAGGCTCCTGTTTGTAGGCACACCATAGCATCAGTAATAGTGTCAGGCCTTGGAGCCTCTCCTTGAGATGGATCCGAAGACTTTTCTTAAAGGAGTCTATACTTCCTGAGGCATTACTCCCTCACACATTTGCTTTCTCTATAACAAATGTCCATGTCCTTTCTAAACTATCTTCAATCTGTGTCAGCAAGAATATAATTAATGGAAATTAAATATGTGATGGTGAAAAAAAGGACACATGGTGCATGGTCTATTTGGACATACATGTGCATACATGTTAGCTTTCTGTCACTGTAACCAATACTTTAAAAGAGGATAAATGTTTCTTGCTTATGATTTCAGAGGTGTCAGGTGATGAGCTCTTGACTGTTGTTTTGAGCCTACAATACTATATTACATAATAATTACATAGTATATTATATAATAATATATTATGGGTTAGGATTAGTACAAGTGGAAGCTTGCTCAGCTTGTGATAACTAAAAAACAAAACAGAGACATTGGGGTCCCAATATTTCTTCAAAAGAACTCTCCTAATGACCTAACTACCTCCCAGTAGGACTGATCTCTTAAATGTTCCACCACCTCCTAATAACAGCACAGAATAATAAGGCATTTAACATATGGGTGTCTGGAGAGATTCCAAATCTAAACTATAGCAATATATTGTATAAAAATTAACATGTACTTATTTAAATAAAAGCAAAACACATGTTCTCTCCCTCTCATTATCATATAAGAACCTCTATTAGATCTTAAATGCATACCTAAATCTTGTGTGTGTTTATACATTTCTACTATACAATTTCTTATATGATACAGAAAAATATAGTTTGATAATAATTCTTCATTTTACTTTGTGTGCAATTGAATAAAAGCATCCTCATCTTCCCACTTCAGAAGCTGTTCTGTAAATAAAGTAAAACCTGTGAAGAGACCGGACCCAGCCCCAGTGATATTACAAGAAGAGTCAAGCAAGGACTTTGGTCCTCGATTCTACTGGCCAGCCAAGCCTAAATGTGAGTTTGAGGAGGGGAGAGAGGAAGAGATGGAGAAAGGGAAGGGAGGCAGGGAAAGAGGAGAGGAAGGCAGGAGAGAGGGAGAGAGGGAGGGGGGAGGGAGGAAAGGAGGGAGGGAGGAAAGGAGGGAGGGAGGAAAGGAGGGAGGGAGGAAAGGAGGAAGGGAGAGCATCAGCCATGGATTGGTCCACTGGTAAAGCAGTATCTAAACAATTAGGCAGATAGGTACCCAGTCTTTCTTCAAGTGCTATTGTTCTGTCTCCAATACTATCTACACTGTTGAAAGAGACTTGAAACTATCACTAATATTGAATTAAAAAAATAAACATACAGTAAAATACAGAGTGTGAGCCTAGCTGATGTTTAAGTCCAGGCATGTTGAAATAGACTTTCAGAATAATCATTTCCATAGGACCTGAATAGGTATCCACGTGTCCACCAGATGCTAGCAGCTAGATTGTACAGGAGAAAATTGCTAACTTAAGCTACTTTTCATGATTCAGCAAAGGATTTTAAGTAATAAAAGATCTGGAGATTTGTAAAATAAATAATTCCAGTGCAAATGGGAAAATTAAAATAATCTTATCATCTCTCAGACATGTCTATATGTGTTTTTCTACAATTATCATATTTCTCTTAATTGGGTCCATTTTTTTCCAGCTGATATTTTATAGTTTGAAGTTATGAACTATAATGAAGAAATTATTCATTTCAGATGATTGAAGTGATATCCACTGAATTTTCCCAAAGACAGTCTAGGATGTTTGAAACAAAGCATGATATAGCAAATGTGGTTTTATTCACATGTGATATTCAATATATCCACAGGGAAAAGTAATAACAGCATGCCAGAATCTCTTTTATTTTTTAATTGATGTCTCAGCAGAAGCAATAAAAATGTAAAGTACATCATTAACTTTTGAACTTTGATGGAAAAAAAAGTTCACAACATACCATCCATTTCTGACAAGTAGACATTATCTCATAGTACCCACTCCGTCCTGTGCTATTACGCTTGCCTGGTTTTAAGTGTGACTTTTGGACACATGGCTTTAGAGTTCCTAATATATAACAGCACAATGACTTTTTACAGTGTGCTTTTATTTAATAATTGAAAGACTGATTGGTTAAGCTTCTTCAGGTGTGTGTGTGTGTGTGTGTCTGTGTGTGTTCCTGTGCTAGAGATACATCATTGAAACGAAATGACACACACAGCGCAGCATCCAGCCACATGACCATGTCCTTCCTTAAATGGATTCATTCAGAGCACCTGAAGGAATGATGCAAATACTTCAATGATTTGACTAAGATACTATATTTTTAATATAGATACTGCCCACTCTTTGTACTGGATCCCATCAAAGCCAAATGTTCTCCAAATAAAGTGTTTATAATGCAAAGCTATTGAATAAAAGAAATGCGTGTTTGTTTAAGCAGCAGAGTATAGGATTCAAGTTGATGGAGGGTGTGAAGAAACCATCGAGGAGAGGCGTGGCATGTGTTGCATCCCCTCTGGAGGAAGGCCGTGAACTAAATCCAGAGAAAAATCTGCAGTTCTTACAATCAGCTACAGACTCAGCCCCTGAATTTCTTGTAACAAAATCCTGCTGCCAAGAACATTGATGGGCTAACCCAGTAAAAAATTACAATAATAATATTCAACTAAATCATAAAAAATTGCAGAAGGTGATTATTACGGGGCCAAGGAGGGGAATTGCCTATAAAGTTGTGGTAGAAAGATCAAAAATATATTTTATTGGACTTTAAAAAAATTAAATTCTTTGTTTTTAAACGAAGGTGCAAAGCAATAAAATGTAAAGGTGACTCAATAAACTATTCCATTCATTAGTCAAGAGTAGGGATTGTGCAAGTCAAAGCAAAAATTATCGTTACTCAATATGGCCAATTGAGGCAAGCCTGGAGCTTTAATCACCAGTTTTCTAATGAAAAAAAATCTGAATGTCATTTTAAAGAATTTTAATTCAAAGAAGTATAAAATATAAAGTATAAAATTCTTGCATATACGTCTTTTTGTCAAAATGAATTGGGTTTATGCTTGCTTTCACATAGAATTAAAACTCAAAGGTGCTTTTTAAGCATCTTTTTCCATTCTGCAAAGATATCTGTTTGACATGATACAGAAAATGATGAAAAATACATAAATGCACACAGTATGAAAGGCATACAGTTAGGGAAAGAGAAATAGATGGTGATCTGCCTCTGCTTTCCAAGATTACACAAGGGAGCTGTCTAAATTATTTTTAATTAAGTAGGGTTGCTTTTCTGACCTTCCAAAGTACAGATTACCAATGCATGTACCACAGACATCTGGGCACACACATTCCATACTTTCTTCATGGGAAATAGCATATCTGCCAGTGAGGAAAAACTAATTGAAACTTGCTTCTTTTGACCATTAAGTATCTAACATGCCTTACACATGGTAAGCACCAAATAATATGGCTTGGACCTATAAATTCCCACTTTCTGTTTATCATTAATGTGTCTCTTGGGGTCACACTATAAGTGGTTATGTCTCACATATGAGAATTAATGAAGGACATCTGTAACCAAAAATATCAATGGAAAACTTGCAGCACTGATCCATATCTGTGTCATTAATCAAGTCCAGTACAGAAGGACTTTCTTGTGGTTGTGCTGTTTTAGAGATAGAACTGAGAAGTTATAGTTTAGTTCAAAAGTTGTTCGAAACTTTGCAGAACATGGGGTTTTATGTTATATGATGGCAGTAAAGTCCAGTCCTTGATGGCTATAATTTTAAGTCTATAAGGATATAAGTATCCTTATTTATACTTCAACTGAAAAACATTATGCAAGTAACTGTTGGATATGGAATTTACTTCTTAATGCCACTCTCCTCTTTCCTCAATCTTTTAAATAAAAAGTTCTTTGGGGGAAAAAAGCACCATTTTAAACTAGTTTGGTATGAGCAGCGTTTAGCTGAAGCAGATGGCTGGAAGTCAGAGGCCTCAGATACTAACCTTCATTCCCTACCAATTTGGATGTGGCCTTGGGCAAGTCATGAGAGCAAAATCTATGATAAAAGACATAGTAATGTCTTACATGTGCATGGCATTTTACGGTTTAACAGTACACTTTCACATACAATATGTTATTCAATCTTACCCCCAGCCTCCTGAGAGGGATATAGTAGTCATGTAAAATTCTCCATTTTAAAGAATATGGATTTGAGATGCAGAGAAACTAAATCGCTTCTTCATAGTCACATCAATAGCAAATGTCAGAGCCAGAAAACAGACAGTTGTAGATGTGGTGCTGGTCTCTGTCATCCCTCTATACCACATGGCTACTCTCTGCTGTCTTCCAGTGTGACAAACATAGACAGGCAGCACTTCTAATGTGGTGGTCACAAACCATATATGGTTATTGAGCACTTGAAATGTGGTTCAGCCTCATCCAGATATGCTTTTAGTAGCAGACATATGCCAAATTCTTAAGGCAAGATTTAAAAAAAAAAAAAGACTTCATGCTGAAAATATATTTACAATATCCTGAGGTCAATGAACTAGCATGGTTTCGATAGTGATTAATGTGTTATGTATAACTCAGTATGAATACATTTACCTCTCTGTTTACATGTTTTAGCACAGCTAGGAGAAAATGTCTTTGTGTATAGAACTCACAGGCTTCTATAGTGTAGTGCTAGTCCTGAGAATTTCAATACTCGGTGCCCACGGTGTGATTTCATATTGCTGGAATTGTATATGCACCTGCCCTGATGTGGCTTAAACAAATTTCCCAAGATGCTATTAGGGAGCAGTGTAGATTAATGTTAGCAATCCAGCCATACTTGTATACCTTCTATATCTTCTGTATCTAGGGGAAAGATCAGGCTTTACTCTCTGAACTTCTAAATGCTCATTCATTTTAAGGATTCATTTTATACCTACTTAAATGCATGAAAGGTTTAGAAGCTAAAATTCCATGGGAAAAATCATAAATTATATTTGTAGCTCTGTATCATTGTTTATTTTAAAACATGTTCTCCCATAAATATCAAGAGGGAAATAGATACCTGGCTCTTATGCTAATATAGACAATGCTAAAAAATAATTATATAGAAATTTGTTACCTGGTAAATTTATCCTGTTCACCATAACCTCAAAAGTAGATTTTGAAAAGTCTAATTGAAAATCCTCAAGGAAAAATTGCAGTAGCAAAATATAACTCCATAAAGTAACAGCTAGAATCTATCTGTCATTTATTACGTGGGATGGGCTCAATTCCTACCCTAAAAGTTAGACTAAGATCAGCAACAACAACAAACAGAAAACAAAATTGTTCATTACTGATGCTTCTTATTTCAATACAACCTGAAATCATGATGCAACCACACAAGACAGTATTAGGCTATCTGGAATTCATTCAGTAATACTGACGTCAGCTCCATGTTTGGGCCAGGGATGGTTCTAAACACTGTGGAAACATTGTGCAGAAAGATTGTCCCCAAAGAATGCACCAGTCTGTCATTGTGTGAATGGTGTACATTTAAAAACAAGAGTAAGAAAGGGGAGAGGCTTTCTTTTTTTAATTTTTTTATTGGATATTTTATTTATTTACATTTCAGATGTCATCCGCTTTCCCCATCCCTCCCCCAGAAACCCCCTATCCTATCCCCCCTCCTCCTTCTTGCTTTTTTTTCTTTATTAATATTTTAAGTTAACATACAAAGTACTGGGTTTTATTACAGCATCCTCATACATGTGTCATTAGAGTTCTGATTTGTTTCCCTCTGCCCCTTCCCTTTCTTCCTCCAGCTAGTTTCCTCATCTGACTTCCTGTCACATGTATTCCATCACCTCCCTCCTCATCCTTTTTTATTAGTAACTTTTTAAAAAATGTTAATCAAAGGCTTTATAAGTTTGGTAATGCTCAATAACAAGATGCCCATACAATCAGAAGTGTAACCCAATACCCAACCTAGATATACCAACTGTCTTTGACTGGCAGAGACAGTC